CTTATTAATTATAGCCTTATTTCTGCGGATAGAGTAGTTCCAATTTTTATTTCCCTCTGTATTTCCATTGTCCCCAAATTCATGAGTTCTATTTCTTCTTTGTGGGGTAGAATCTGTTTTTCATCTCTTTCTACTAATCTCAATAGCTCATTAAGGACTTCACAATTTTCTTCATCTTCGTACTCATTGACTTATTCCTGACACAATGGTTGTTTGACATCTATCTTATAACTGGCCTCAGGAACAATTATGCTAGCATCATTGTGACATCTGTATGAAATTTGGTTCGGATATATTGGAATGTAAAGAAAAAAGAATATGATGTAATGCAAAAATGTGAAGAATGAAAGTGATTATCATTTGAGGGAAAAAGTATCTTTCATTAATTGATTGAATAATCATTGAGTTTTACAAAAGGTTGAATAGATACTTTGAAGATGCTAATACAAATTATTTCCGGGCATTACTTTGGATTGACCCTAAAAATTACGGGAAGATCTTCGGCTGTCCAGTTGTCGAGCTTTTCACCGGGGAAACAAGGACGGATTCCAAATAGAAACTTTTCGGGTTGGTTGCCTCTAGTAACCATGTTGATAGACAGTTCTTTCAGGGTCTCGCCCATCTACTCTTCTTCTTTTGCTAGCCTTTCGATCTCGACAGCGCTGGCCAGTTCTTGCTCTACATCATACACTCCTCCAAATTTGAAAGAGCTCTTCAAAAGAGGGAAGAACATACGTTCTCTAGGGACATCCCCTCCTCTCAATATGGCTTTCCTTGCCTCAGCCCTCTTTTTCAAGTCTTGGCTACACTGTTAGAAGGTGGGCTTAAACCCAAGCCCAAAACGGTCTCTCTTCATTCAAGAGTTATGGGTCATACCTGCCCCTGCAGATTTTTTCCTAGTCCTTTGCCGGTTCTCGCTCCTCTTCCCAGGGTTTGCCTTACTGTCATCTTAGTGCAATCTGAGAGTGTGGGACGAGGAATCCTGCTTCCTTCAGCCACATAGGTTACGTTGATAAATTCTAACGCCTTGAAGAAACATTCTAAGGCGTCTTCATTGACTTCGATGTATGGGGTATCTGTCTTCACAGAAGCTATGATTTCTTGTTCAGCTCCGATGCTGACCAACCTTCCATCAATTATGAATTTCAGCTTCTGATGTAAGGACGAAAGAACTGCCCCTGCAGCGTGGATCCAAGGTCTCCCTAGTAAGCAATTGTATGTCGGGTGGATTCATTATTACAAAGTCAATGTTGTAAATAGCAGGTCCGATCATCAAGGGTATTTCCATATTTCCTATCACGTCCTTCTGGGTTCCGTCAAATGCTCTGATGATGTTATGGTAAGCTCTCATGTGTGAGCTATCAATGGGCATTCTTTGTAGCGTAAGCAAAGGTATTACGTTCAGTGCAGACCCGTTATCTATCAGAACTCCCGGTAAGACATGGTCGTGGCAATGTACCTTGATATTTAAAGCCTTGATAGACCCCATTCCTCCTTCCGGGATCTCATCATCAGTAAAGGTGATGTAGTTGTCAGCAGCTATGTGTCCTACGATTCGGTCCAATTTATGCGTTGAGATATCATCGGGGACAAAAGTTTGGTTAAGTACTTTCAGCAAGGCGTTCCTGTGTATTTCTGAGTTGATCAAAAGTTCCAAGATCGAGATTTTTGCCTGGTATTTGTGAAGCTGGTCCACTACACTGTATTCACTGTGCTTTAGGAATCTTAGGAATTCACGACCCTAAGCTTCGGTCACGGGCTCGTTAATAACTGGTGGAGGTTCTTCATTGAAATTTTTTGGCATTACCACTGTCTTGGCTTTGGCCTTTGCTTTATCTGCTTCAGTGGATGTCTCAGGTGAGTAGCATCTTCCGCTTCTCGTGAAGTGGCCTACCTCACCTACTTCTTCTGGGATTAACTTGCTTTCTTCTCTCATCCTTTCAGTAATTTTTGGTACCTCTGGTATGGACACACTAGCTGCGTAATTCCAAGGAACCTGTCGGGTGTCCTTAAATGAGAAGGGGGGCGGAGTTGTGATCACCACTTTCAGAGTCATTGACGATGAACTCTCACATCTTGGTCTAATGGTGATGACCACTAGTTTTCTCACTCCAGGCATCCTGTCAGAGCCATTCGTCATGCAGACGTCCATTTCTCGGGGTCTTTCTTCAAAAAATTCCACTTCCCCACTGTCCATCATTCTCTGAAGTAATCCTTGAAATTCGTGGCAACTCTGTATGTTGTGATCCTCCTCTTAGTGATATTCGTAGTACGTTTTACGTCCCCCAGGCCTTGGCATGAGACTATCTTTAATCATCCTCGACATGCACAACTGTCCAAACACCCTGCTGAGAGGAGATCAGATTTCTGATACATTTCTTTTCGTCGTTCAGATATCTCTTTCATCTATCATATTGATTCCTTGCCTTCCGTGATTAGGAAGAGGGTGAGCATTTGTAGTTGGTGTTTTGAATTCCAAATCTCCAGCATTGATGAAACTTTGTACAACTCTCTTGAAAGCTGAGCAGTTCTCGATATCATGCCCAGTGATCCCTGCGTGATAATCACAGTAAGCGTTGGCATTATACCAATGCGGGTAAGGTGGCTGTAGCGGCGTTAACTTGTAAGGACGCACTAAATCTACCTTCAAAAGCGAGGCGTAAATTTCTGAGTATGGTACTGGTACTGGTGAGAAAGTTTACCTTGTATTCTCTCTCATTGGCCCCCTGTTCTCATAAGTGTTTGCCTTCTCTACCCTAGGCTGGGTGATTGTAACACTGGCAGCGTAGTTCTTATGGTGAGTGTTCGTATGGTTCACCTCACTTTCTCTTTTCTTAAAATAGGGCTTCTTAGACCCTTCATCTCCTTCAATCTTTCCATTTCTAATGGCATTCTCGATTAGCTCACCATAAATGACCAAGTCAGCAAAATTCTTGGTAGCATTTCCTAAGAGATGCCCTAAATACGGAGCTTTTAGAGTATTCACAAAAATGTCTGTAGCCTCTTTTTCCAACAATGGGGGCTGCACTTGGGATGCCACATCACGCCACCTTTGGGCGTATTGCCTAAAGGTTTCACGTATTGCCTAAAGGTTTCACTTTGTCGTTTCTCCATATTTTGCAGCGTCCACCGGTCAGGTACCAGGTCAGTGACGTGACGATACTGCTCTAAAAAGTCTCGGGACAAATCCCTCCATGATTTAATATGAGACTTGGTTAATTGGTTGTACCATTTGGTCGCCGATCCAGTCAAACTATCCTGAAAGCAATGTATCAGAAGCTTCTCGTTCTCAGTATAGCCAGTCAACCTCCTACAGAACATGGTAAGATGGACAGATGGGCAAGTGGTCCCGTCATACTTTTTGAAATCTGGTGTTTTGAACTTTGAGGGCCATATGAGATCAGGAACCAAGCTTAGCTCCCTCGTGTCCATTCCGTAGAATGGCTCCACCTCTACCGACCTTACCCTTTCCTCCAGACTTTTCAGTTGTTGGGTTATTCCGTTGTCAACCTTTCCTTTTGCTGATATTTCCTAAAAGTCATGAGCTAACTCTTCCATGCCTGACTCAACAGGTCTTACCCTGGCAACCGATGGGTAATTAGCTTAATATACGGGCTCAGTATGATTCTGGGCTGGCGATCTAACAGAAATATGTACTGGGGTAAAACTGGGAGGATGTGAAGGTCCTAGTGTAAACCCCGGTGGATGTTGGGGATCAGATGTAAACACAACAGGATGGGATACTTCTTGTTCAAACCCTGGAGGATGCATGGGATCTTCTTCGGATAACGCTCACTGGTCAACCTTCGTCTTTCCGTTCGTAGCATGTTTCTTAAACATTTCTTCAATCTTTTGCATGATACCGACTTGCGAGTTTTCTATCTCTGCTTCCATCTTACTTAGTCTCTCTCTAATTTCTTCTTGGGCTTGCCTTTGGTCTTGCTCAAGCTGTGTCATTCTTGCCTCCATTTTCTTGATCGTTCTTCGAGTACTGTACGGGTGTGAGGCGAGTGCCAGGATAACTACAATTGGTTGGAAATTATATTTTATTATTTGGTGAATTTTAATAAATGAATGAATTGTTATAATATAATCATTTAGTTTTTTAAATATGAGAAAAACATGTGAAAACGCAAATGCAAATGCAACCCGAAATTGATTCCGAAATAACTTAGTTTATAAAAAAAGGTACTCAACAACACACAATGTCTAAGCACTTAGGCAAAGAGAGTACGTCAATCATGGAAACTACACATAAAATATTATCGTATCCCCTAATCTTTCGAGCTCTATCATCAATCCGATGATGCGTCGTTCTTCTAATGACTCTGGGACCACAAAAATTCTCAGGGCTGCCGCTTCTTCAGATAATTCGAATACTTGGCGAGCAACACTACGGGCCTGACTCATGGCTCTCCCCATTGCTTCATGTTGACTCTGAATAGTATCTTGAGCCTGTCATAGTACGGTTCCAAGCTCTGAATTAGTCAATGGTTAACTTTCTTCTAATTGTTGGATTCGCTGATGTCCTTTCTGTACTGCAACTTCTAGCTCAGTAATCTTGAATTTTAAGGCCTCGTTCTCCTGCATGGCTATATCATGTGTGGATGAGTGGATCAACTTTGTTTCTTCTAACTCTGCTACCCTTTTCTTTAACCTCTCATTTTCTTTTTGAAGACGGGACTCATCGCTACTGTACGAGTTCTGAAAAATCTCAAGCAGCTGTGCTTCGAGCCGTTCAATCTGTGCCCGCCTCTGTGTCAATTCTTGGTTAGCCTCATCTCTTTGCTCTTTTAGTCTTTAGGCGTGCTGCAGGGCTCATTTGTTTCCTTCTTGATATCATCTTGCGCTTCTTTCTACCCCATTGAGTTTTATTTTTAGGGTATTGGCAGTATGATGTAGACTCTGGGCTCTCATATTCTTCTCTAAGTCCTGAAAATCTTGATTTAGCGCATCAAAACTTCCCTGAACCTTCTCTTTGTCTTTGGACATTTGTTTTATCACTCCATCTTTCTTAAACAACTCGAGCTCCCACATTGTCTTCTCATCTGAGAACTTTTTATTTTCTTTTCTCTCTCCATATTTATCAGTTGCATTTCCTCTCTTAACAATTCAGCCTCTATTGGGAGCCTCTTTAATCGCTCCTCCATAGTCAGCTCATCTTCTAAATTTGGCTTCGGCGTGTTGTTATTAATCATTTGCAACCTCCAAACCTCGTAGGCCGGCGTGAATACAAGCTCTATTATCTTGAAGCTCATGCAGTGAGGTTTCTGCCAAGCTGTATAAATCTTTGAAATCCGCTCTCGGTAACCTGGAGTGGAGAAAGAAAACTCTGCCTCCTTCAGGCTGTGGGTAGCGGGTACAAACTGTCGGGTACTGAACTGTCTGAGTGCAATTAGCGGAGTATACCCGATCGCTCCCCATAACCCGTGTAGCATTACAAAACTATCATTGTCGCATCTGAAAAGTATGTCTTCTTTGGGTAACCAGTAAGCCTTCCATACTATCTCAGTATCTTTTATGTTACGGAGAGCATCAACCCATTCCTTCCTCTTGCGATGCTCTGGTATTTGACACTTGCTTAGGAAGTCCACTAGAGGCGAAAAATTCGATTGATGTCTCCGAGCCCAACTTTTCTCGACTATCCAGGAGTGGCTCCACCACCAAACTAGTAACAATGAGGCACATCCGGTGAACTGACCTCCCCGCAATCGTCTACACTGGTTGAGTGACAAGAATGTTTCCGCAAGGATGGTTGGTGCGGGATTCTTTCTGGAAATAGCTTCGACAAAATCAATCAAAGCGATGTCGAAGTGATCCTCATTCCTAGGGAAAATAACCAAGCCATATAATGCAAAGTGATCTCTTCTTCTTTTTGATGGAGTCTGCTCATAAATCAAACTCTTCAGTTGAGGCCAAGAGATTCCCTCATCACGAATATACTCTTCGACCTATTACTTGGTCTTCCCGGTCAACGTGATCATCTTGGTAATGAATCCCTTAGGTCGGATCGCCTTGGTGTAAATAGAATGTCTTCTGATATTCGGGATATTCAGTAAAGCCGTATACTCCTCCAAGGTAGGGGTCATATCTACTTTACCGAATGTGAAACACCTGTAAGCTGGATTCCAACACTCGGCCAGGGCTCGAACAACCACTTCGTCTATTGGAACTCTGAGCAGCTCTACTAGGTCGCCGTATATTTCTCTGAACAATGTCTTCTCATTATCATCCCAAGTGGCCCAAATTCTTGATAACATAGCCCAATGCGTCTGTCTGACTTGGATAATTACCTTCTCTGGTAAAACTTATTCTTCATTAGTAACAAGGTTATCCCCGAATCGCGTTTTTCTGTATTCATACCAGGTTTGAACATTTATTGTATTCTCAGTCCCATTGGAAAACATTGCTACCTTAAGCTCTTTTTATAATAACTAGATAATCTGGGAATCAATATCGTTTATGAAATGATGCGATATGATAATGATACATGCAATCAAGAAACAAAGCAACAAGTTAGTACATTAGAATAATCGAAAAATAAAGGAATAATTAGCGAAAAATTAAATTATCGAAAGCGAAATAATCAAAGAAAACTGAAAATCCTAACATCATGCGATTTAGTTCTCTTAAGTTAACCACATGGCTTTAAATGGGTTGGTTTACTAAATTATCTATATGTGGGAGGGTTCTAGCAAGGGTTCCCGAGTAATTTCACAACCTGCTAAGGCTGACCCCAATTCTGGCCCATTATAGACTTGCGAATCGGGTTCCACTCAGGGGATCACACCACTAAAAGCGTACCTCAGAACTGATATCCGGATAGGCAACTTAGGGTGCTTTCCAGAGATACTTTGTCAGACCCACACAAGGAAGCCTGATGCTCCTCATGAGGTGTGACGTTTCTCCCTACTTAGATAAATCGGGATTGAGCTCAGGTTTAGAGCTATGCTATGCAACAATCCTAAATATTTCATAGAAGTGTAAACATTAACCAGAGAGAAATCTGTTTTTTTAAATAACATAATGAACAGTAAATTAAATAAGATCGAACTCGTAATTTCTAAAATAGTAAATATAGGGTAACCAAATCGTGGCTCGACTCTCAATTTGTTTTAAAAAAACAAAAGTCCCCAGCGGAGTCGCCAAGCTGTCGACACCATTTTTCGCCTGGGCGGGGAAAGACCGATACCGACTCGGGGGTTTTCAATTTTAAAATCGTTTCGAAATGTGAGGAGTCGCCACCAATCATTTAAGGTGAGATTGAAACACAGTAAAAATCGGGTGATTTTAATAAAACATTTTATTTTAATAAAATACCGAGTTTTAGGGTCTGCAAAAATCCAGAAATCAGGTTTGGGAGTTAGTTACGCGTGGGGAAGGATTAACACCCCCATAAGCGCCCAATAATTGGTACCTAGTTGATTACCCTATATTTAAAATTGAAAATTTTGAGTTTGATCTTTATTTAATTTGAAAATCATTACGGATGCAAAGTTTGAAAAGGATATTCGTTTATTGAGACCGATAGCATTCGCCCCCGAGCGTAAATGCGGGAGATCAACTATTGTGTCTAATAACCGAACATTGCCTCTTTTTTAGAAAAATATGATGTGGTTTTGAAAAGGATGTCGACTTATTTAAAGAATTACCAGTAGTCACCCCCTGAGCACGATCGCGTGGGATATATTATTAACTCCTTAATAAGTGAACAGTGCCTTAAGTTTTAAAAACAATGCAATCAAATTTTTTTTATTAATCCTAATTATACAAAAAATAAATTAGGGTATTTTCTAGCCTACGGTATCAAATTATGAAAATTAAAGAACATAGGGGCTCAAACCTAAAAATAAAGGCTCTAATATTAATCCTATTTGATTTTAATTAATTATTGAATCGAATAACCGAGATGGTCCCTCGAGCGCTTACGCGAGGGCCAACTCGAATTATCCCCTAGATTTAAAGACTAGTTTGAAATCTAAGCTAAAATGGAGGCTCTATTTAACCTATTTGATTATATCAATATAAAATTATGATCAAAGTTTGGGGACGAAAATGTCAAGATCTCAAAGTTTGGATTTCTAAAAGATCTAAACGGCTAATGTCCTAAATTAATAATTTCTAAAGTTAGGGGGCTAATTAAAATATAATTATTACCTAAATTGTTATACTGAAAATTTTTAGAACCTTTTAATTATTAATTAATTTTTAATTGAACAATCGATTCGAGCAATCGGGCGTATAATGCGAAAACTCAATTCGAATTGCTCACTAATTAAACTAGAGTGTCATCCTAATTTCTAATTTTGATTCGTATATTAATTCAAATTAAGAAATAAAATTACAAAAAAAAATAAATAAATACTAAAATTGAATAAAAATAAAATTACAAATAATAAAAGAAATTAACATATTCAAGTATCTAAATATAACAAACTTTAAATATAAGGACTAAATTACAAAAGAATCAAAAGAAAGTAATTAAATAAACCCAAGAAACATAGGCGTTAAGATCATAATAAACCCAAGAAACCTATATTAGACTAAAAGGAAATCCATCAAAATGTTATGCTAAATATGTAAAGTAACGAAAACATAAAATAACATAGTCCAGGATTAAAATGTAACACGCTCAAAATTTAATGGCAAAAACTGAAACTTTTAAAAAGAAATCATAAAACATGGGCTAAAATGCATTAACAGAAAAAATAAAAGGATTTACTTCGCAGATAACCCTCCTAGGCGCTGAAACGAGCATTCCCCTCCTAATGAAACGACACCGTTTTAATAATCTTATATGTTTAATTTTAGGCTAAAAATTTTAACCCTAAGTCATTTGTAACTTCCCTTGCTGCGTCGTTTCTCCCTGTTCTATCCAACCCTCATCTCCCTGCTGCCTCTCCCCTCTATATTCACAACCGAAACCCTTACCAGAACCCAAAAAGGACGAAGCTCGAAGGATCTCCACTCCGATGGCTTCAACTCCGGCGGTCGACTCCTCGGCTAGGTAATTTCTAGACTCTTTTCTATTTATTTCTTCGTTATTTGCTGGTTAGTTGGACTGAGTAGATTCGAAATAGATACTTATTTATTTTCATTCATTGTTTCGAATGCATATTAGCGTTACCATACTTGAAAAAAGAAGAAGACAAAAACAAGTTATTTTTACCCTATTCAACCATGCAAAGCTTCATTTTTTAGAGATTGTTCCAGTATTTCTTCGGAAGAAACAACAGTGTATAATATGCCTTATATTCGAACAACAAAATATAATTTGCATCCGGGTTAGAAATGGACAAATCAAAGAAAAAACATTCAAATAAATGATAAAAATAAATAAAAAAAGTAAGTGATTGATACCCTTTGAAGTCTGTTATTGCATGTAAATGGAATCTACAGTATTTTGTTTGCAAGGATTTGCCGACCCCTTCATTGTACACTGATTTGGGTTTTATAACCCCTTACATATGTAAAAATTAATTAAAAAAAATGCTATTGGTGTTGTGCTGGAGCAGGGCATGGGCGAATGTTATGGGGTTGCTTAGTGGTCTGCATAAGCATGGGCACCTGATAGATTGAACATGGCAGCATGTATGGTGCTTTAATTAAAATATGGAAGTACTTGGCAACCTCACGGAATTTGGTTGTCTTTGAAGACTAGGAGCTGGATATAATACTAATAAACACGTCATCATGAATTAGATTTCTAATACTGCAATCCAGCTCATGGCCCCAATTATAATATTGTTCCCATAATGTTGTTGCCACCAATGATGGCGCCACTTGGTGCTCCTTTGTCTGGTCAAGTAAATGGCCTTTCATAACTTCTTACACTGGCCCCACCAACCATAAATCCTGGAACTGCATCAAATAATAGAGATGGGTTTTAATTTAAAATATGGTGCTCATAGATTTGTAAAGCAACCCAAATCCAGTTAATGAATTTCTCAGGCAGCCCCAAAGCATGAAAAATGGAACCCACAAACTCCCAATTAAGAGAATCAAAATCTTTCTACATATCAATTTTTAAGGCAATCCTCAGGGAAATATTCTTCGAGTATAACCCCTTACAATCTCTTGAGCAAGTAAAGTGTTATCTGCTATACTCCGCCCCTTCACAAAAACAGTTTGATTCATTGAGATCATACCAGGAAATACAACAGACAATCGACTCACTAAAATTCTTGTAACAATCTTATAAATCACAAAGCAACAAGATATAAGCCGAAAATCCTTAGCCATACCCGGGTTAGGAACCTTAGGCATAAGAACTACAACCATTGCATTAAAAGTATGGAGAATGGAACAATCAACAAAACAAAACATGATGGCAACCCTAAAATCATCACCCACTATAGGCCAAGTTCGTTTGAAAAAATAGGAGTTATAATCATCCGGTCTAGGAGACTTGTCATTCCCCTGCCCCCAAATGGCCTCATTAATCTCAACATCAGAAATATCCCCGCATAAAGCATCAGCAACACCCACAGGCAAGGAATAATGAAGAAGGTCTTCAATCATCCTAGCATCTCAGCCCTGCACGTCCTGATTAACCACACCCAACTAATTTCTAAAGAAATCAACTACCTCATTAGACATGCCATCAAAAGAATCAAGTCTAGTACCATAATTATCATAGAAAACCCGAATAGTGTTATATTTCCTTTTACTAGCCACTATAGAGTAAAAAAACGAGTCCCTTGATCTCCATCTCTAATCCAATTCATCTTTGTTTTTTGCTTATAGAAAAGTAACTCTACATCTTCAAGAATTTTGAAGTTACGCTGTAGTTGTAACTCAGCATCAATACTACTACCAACAAAATCTGAATCCAAATTAGCCAACTGAATCCTAGCTAGCTCCTCCCTCTTTTGCTTAACCTGACTTGAAATATACTAAATCGAGCCCTATTAAGCTCCTTAAGACATCTCTTCAATCTTTTAACTTTTAAAACATCACTTGAGCTAGATTACTTACAGTCGGGGCCTGCCAAGACTCCTTAACAACATAAATAAACTCAGGATGCATCACCTATAAATTAAAGAATTTAAACGGCTTAGATCTGGCCACATGAGATTCTTTGTGCAACCAGACTAAAGCAAGGTAATGATCCGAGTCTCATGGGGCTTGAAACTCTACAACTAAATCAAGAACTGCTCTAATACAATTCGAATTCACAAGAACACAATCCAATTTACGAGCCAAATAAGTCTCTTGTTGCTAGTTTGACCAAGTAAAAAGAGGACCAGTAAATGGATGA